CCCAAAGTCTGTCTACCAATGATTAAAACGAATAATAAAACACCATGGGCAAATAATAACAGTGAAAGTGCAAATCAAACGGAATGGGAGAAACATGACGCAGTACAATTCATAGAAGTTGCATAGAATTCGGTAAACACCATGTACCAGTATATGGATATCCACAAGTCTTTTTGTGGCACAGGAATGTACAAATTACACGGTAGTTTTAGAAAATTTGAAATGAAATTGTATCAATAGCTCGCTCTCTCGGCCGACATAAAAAATGAACTGTTTAGTACTTTACTAAAACAGAGGTTAATTTAGAAGAGAACCATAATGGTGTCCTGTAATGGCGAATTCGCGATACTGGCACCGCCGCAATCGGCGGGTAAAAAACCTGGACAAACAATCGGAAAATAGCAAGAAAAAATGTTAGAGTAAAATTCATTTTCCGATCGAGTATCGAAGGTGTTCATAACCCAACATAGAGGACGATTAGTGACTAATGAAAGAAATCGCGTAATTTTTGCCGTCGGCTGCGTGGTAAGCTTCCTTCTATTGTCATTAAAAACGTAGAATTATATTAGGTGAAATTCGACCCCGACTGAAAAAAAAACAATGAGCAATCGCTAAAAGAAATAACATCTGCCTACAGTTGCTCAACAAATTGAATTATCACAGATTATTTTTAATAAAACTGTTTAGGTTGTAGTACCCAGGGAATGTAAATTCGACCTCTCGTTTGTGGCCATATCCGTATGCCGCATTTCCCATAGGCAAAAAAATATTTCGAAATGCCTCATTTTGAAGTTTTGAATTAGTTGATTTATGTATAAAAATTTATTTCAACGCAAGTGTACGGTATTTGAGATTACAGTGTGCTGTGCTTATATGCATCAGTGGGATTTTTACACTGTTCAAATTGCAGTACTGTCAGTTATTGGTGCACGGGTTGCAGACATTCATTCGGGGATCCAGAGGACATGACGCGACTTCAGTTATCCCGTATTTCGGAGTCTTAGTAGAAGATATTAGCCTACGCGTACTTTGACCACACCAACCTAAAGGGTTAGTTAATTGAGCAGTGGGTCATTCAATTTGCTACAAGACACAACTCTTTCATAAGAAGCCCTAAGGTAAAGAAAGTAATGAGACCGCAGGCCATAATTTACGACAAAAGATGTTTAGATAACGCCCACTCAGAGCTCGTCATACCAACTTAGAGAACCAGTACATTCACCTGTCGAAGATTAGAATTCTAGAAGCAACGCAAACATATTATTCAGTCAGTATTTTATTTTTACACATACCGAAAGTACACATTATACAGGATAGGAAAAGATAAAAGTAAATACATTTCAATGGGAAGGCACACGCGATGAACCATTGAAGGTTATCGATCAGCGTCTCCTATGATGAAGTCTAACACTAAATTACACCGAAGAAAAAAGTCGAACATAAAATACTAATATATTTGACACGATATCCCGGTGTCGTTGTTAGAATGGAAGCAAATGACTCCAGACATGACAGGCTGTGTAACCACGGCAACCGCAGATTCTATTCAGGCACGTTGAAGGTGCAGACTCCATTCCATTCTAGCAAAATAATTCTAAACAATGAAGCTGACTGTAAACAAATATATTTGTAGCCTAATACAGTACCAGTTATCAAGCAGTAATAGCTCGCCTGGATGCCATGCCAAATTGCAACAAAATCTTCAAAATCAATTTGTATTTCGCGACTAGCTAAGAAAAGCACAACACAACTTCAAGCGCATTCTAAGAGGCGATCACCAATCATTATTCGTAGTCACGTTTGAACTGATTACTTACGTTACCTTAGGTCAGTCTGTCGCATCATGATATCGCGCGACAGTTATATTCCCGGGAATGGAAGCCTACTGGAAAACCATGTTGATGTTAATTACCTTTAATTTCGTTGTTTTTTTATTTTAGCTTATACTCTCTGTTATATTTTAATTGTCTGAAAATCTTTCAAATCGATGCCACTGGTTTATAAGATCATTCAGTACAAGTTTGCACTAATCCAACGTCTGTAAACTTAAAATGAATGTTTCCTTTTTTAAATCCGTAACAATGGCTAATCAGCAACACCTGGTGACGTAACAATTAGAATTTTAGCACCCAGTTAAACTATTCTCAACGATCGGACAGCTTTTCAATGATGGCTGCAAAGTGCAAACATTGACACGTTTTATTTATTTTTTGGTTACCATATGATTTATCTAAAGCTTCTTTTTTTTTTTTTTAATGCCCTGTGGTTGTGTGTGTGCGAGTCCGCTGTGAATGATTTGATTCAGTAGTTTTAGGTGAGTGAACACGTACCACTTCTTTTTGGCAATACCTTCCATCTTATATTCTGTACGTTTTAAACCTTACCCAAGGTTTTGTTTACTCTCCTGATTTCATAATCAGTTTTTATTTATTTGTTTCTATCAACCGTTTTATCGTCGTTTTGCTGATTATGGAGTCGAAATAAACTTAGCTTATCTTTTTCCCTTCTTGGCCACTATTTGTCAGCTCTCGTCACGCGTAACAAATTTCAAACGCTGCTATTCATGAGCCAAAGCTAGTTTTAAAATCACAGCCAAGGGATCTCAGTCTTTGGAGGCGTCCCGCCTCAAAGTCACAAATATATGATAACCCTACATGGAAACATACGAACGCACGTACAATGCTCCCTATCAGACCACAATGGTATCATTGTAACATTGCTATCTCCATGGATACCTTGACAGTCGGTGCTAGGAGTCGTTGAAAGTTTACTGAGTCATGCGACTGTTGCATGTACCAGGTCGCATAGATGTATGTAGTTTTTTTCATGTTACGTATATTATATATACGATTTTTTATTTTATTCATGTTCTTTCAGACTTTCTAATGGGTGCTGTATCTTGCATTTTACTAGTGGTGTAGTGGACCTTTTAACTTTTCTCATCACAACAAGGCACCGATAAAACACATCACGGCATCGTGCTAAGCGTAAGAAATATGCACACCACCGCACCTCTGATTATCTATTACCCGGAGTGGGTTAACACGTTCAAATCATACGCGGGATTAATTATGTGTGAGAGGATTGCTAGGCGGTTCACGTAACCGCTGGTCAATTCGGCTTCCTCCATCAAGTCCACGAATCTGAAAACAAATAATTAACTAATCCCATACCCGACATGGAACAGTAACCGGCATGAAACCGCGGTTCATCATATGATTAAGATGTCTAATTGGCTTTCCTAAATCCTATCCCTTCTTGCTAGACGAATTTTCATCCCAGTATGATGTTGTTTGTAAAATCTAATTTATTTCTGATGCGTTTTTCCCACTGTTGGAAAGAAAAAGGATACTCTTCATTTCAGCAAATCTATTTAAATAATATTAAAGCAGACACAAAATAGGAACAGACAATCAGCTATTACCAAACAATTGGAATAAAAAACAATATAGACGAGCAATTATGACCAAACAGCTAAACAAAAATAAAACAATCAGTGACATAACAATACAAAACTGCAACAGTGTCTTCAATCTCCGAAAATGTCATCCACCAACTAATTTCACCATCTTCCTAACCACAAACGAAAAATAGTAGTGGGGCAATAAGACGATATTTTGTGAAAAGCCCCCAAAAAATATACACTCCTTCACCGCTCAAAAAAATTTAGTAATTATCCAAATAGGGTGAGGGTGGGGATGCAGATTGCACTTGAAATTTCAAACACTAACCTTAACTGGATAATTCCTAATTTTATATTTTAAAAAGTGGCAAGATTGTTTTTCTCAAATCTTATATTTTTGCATTAGTGGCGAGGCTATGAAAGATCTCAATAAAGTAAGATTTGAGAAAAACAATATGTCAATTACTTCTCAATGCTCATATTCCAACATATCCAAAGTTGAGTTATGTCTTATTGGCAGTTGGGTGCGTCCGAGTCATTCAATTAAATGACTTGAGATTTTGATGAACGGTAACTTGAGTCTATGACTAGATCAGTGGTTACCAAAGTTGATTGACCAAGGGCAAAAGATTAGAATCTGGAGGAAATTCGCGGGCCAGGAGAGGGGAGCGCCCGCAATAGGCCGATACCGGTACGTTTAATTAACATATCGAATTGTTAAGATACCGAACTGAATTGTCAAGAATAGACGCATACTTATACTATGATGATGACATAACCATTGACGATATCTAGAGCACAAAAAGGAAAAACATAAAGTGTTAAACTATTTCACTTAAGTTCGACAGGCTAAGCGTTATGACCCCGGATTTGGGACCACTGTACTAAATAGTGTTCCCCCAATAATGTGTAACCCGTGCTCATTTCCATATCAGGCTAGAGTGCGTGGGGGTACTGTATACAATATCTTGAATTAAATTAATCTACATATTTTGAAGAAATAGAATAATAATTTTGAAATGGGTGAAAGTTTATGAAAAATTGCAAGTCGAAATTCATTCAGAAGTAAATTCTCTCTGAGTGGGCTTTAGGTGGCATGGTTTGGAACAGGCAATATTGAAAATAATTATTATTACCTCATTTATTTTGAAAAAACAAAATTATAGAAATGAAATTTTAATTTTGAAATAGATCGTAAGATGGAACTACATACAAATGGTAAGAAGTTTCAAAATCGATTTGAAAAAGTCTTTAGTGCCTCAAGTGTTCAAACTGCACAGAACTACATTCAAAGGGTAAAGAGTTTCAAAACATGCAGAGGCAGAATGTATCAAAAAAGCATAGGAGATATTGAGTTAGCTATTTTCGTACCAGACTACAGTTGGTAATGTTAGATTCATTATTTTGAGGTTTGCCCTATGATTGAACCATATTATCTTCCCCCACTTCCAAAAAAAAATAATTATGAAAATCATAAATAAGAACAAACAATCAAGCAGCAATAAGTAAAAATAAATAAAAATGAAAATAGTAAACTTTCAAAATAGTTGTGCGACAGAAAAGCTATTCGAAAAAGTCACTAGCGCACTAATTGTTCAAACTGCACAGTACATTCCTAGACATGTTGATGAATTTTATATTAGTGTATCGAAATTTACCCCCCCCCCCCCAATTTGTGGAAAAATAAGTTTCTAGGGGCCCAAGTGTTCAGGCAAAGCAGTATTATCTTGAGGAAGGACAAGTTTTATATTTGTGTATTATATTTCTTGTCTCCCATTCGTACTAAGAAAAAACTTTCTAGTGCCTCAAGTGTTCAAGTATATAGTATTTGCTTGGACATCCCGATTAAAGGGACCAATTGGTCGAGTTTTGAATTTGTGTTTTGTGATTTTTTTCCCTTTTCGTAGACAGATAGGACTCTAGCATTCATACTGCATATAATTTTAAATGATACGTTATTTAAGGAGGGGGATTTTGAGATGAGTTATAATTTTTTTCAGTTCAGTTTTTAGCTCTATACTGCCTCAAGTATCGACATCAAAAAATCAACAGGAAGGGGGGGAATTACCCTATAAAATATAAAGTAGATATTTCAATACACAAAAGCTCTTATACAGACTAAGTTTCCACTAAAAATCGTTGAGGGGAAAGTAATTGCCTCACAAAAAAGTTCTTACTGCCTCAAGTGTCCACATTTAAAAATAATTGCTGAAGGCATCTTCTTGCAGGGCGATTACAACCATGAGTCCATAACCGCAGAGTATTCCAACATTTTGGATTAGAAATCTTTTGTAACAATCTTTGTGATCGAGTTGCTTCATCATAGCTGGAAGCTAGAAAAGTAAAAAAGAATTGTTATGAAGGGGGAGAGGAAAGCTGATAGAATGACATTGTCACAGCCCAAGTTTGCTATATCTCAGTGTGTGTGAGCGTGCGTTAGTCTCTTTTACTTCCAAGTAAGTGGCTGTATCTTTGCTCAGAGATGAGTCTTCTTTACATCTGAGTGAACATATGCAATGCGCCATCATGATTCTATTTAGTTTCGATAGCTCTTGGCAGTTCGTAAATTTGTACAACGACGAGCTCCAATTAGTTCTGGGTAGTGCATGGTCTTGCTTTGAGTAATTCTCTTGCGACTTTGCTCATAGTCGAGCAATGCCTTTCAAATGGATTTTAGCTTAAATATTAAAGCACCCTATTTTGAACCAATTGTTTCTTTGCGTTTTTAATGATAAACTGTTTGACTTTTTTTCCTTCTTTCTGTGTTAATTACTGCTAGATGTATTACAGGCAGCGCTGCTTGTTACTAGGGCTGTCCAAAATCGAATATTTTTTTGATTCGAATCGAACCGAATATTTTTCTCGAATCGAACCGAATAATCGAATATTATTGCGCAATCCAAAATTTGTCTCTAATGTACAATTAAAAATTCCCTTTTCAATATTGTGACAACGTATATGCAGTTATTTCTAAATTATAGCAAATATTTTGCATAACTATGTTTCCAGAGTTATAAAAGGAGATCACAAGCCTCCTTGAACTGGTCAAAAAATTAGGGTTTCGAAAACTATCAAGTTTTAAGAGTTGGAAATTGTACAGAATCTTTTAATGCCTGTAGTTGCTATTTTAATCCAATTATCATTAGTATTATTAACTCAATATTTTTTGTGTAATTTTCAGTAAAATGATAAACAACTATTAATATAGATTGCCCAAAAAATTCAAAATTGCATTTCGGGAACTCACAAATTCAGAGTTAGTTTGATGACCATATTGTTACTGTACAACAGCCATCCACTCACAATAGTGCAATTATTTGTCATAGTAATAAATGGATGAAACAAAGTATTGCCATTAGAAGAAATTACAAATTCTATTGGAAAAAGGTATTGGACCTCCAAAACGTGTTTCAGTCCTGTACCATGTTCCTATGATTACTAACTCGGCAACAACAAATCGATTCTATTTTTAGAACTGGCGTTTTTGCTGACACAAAATTTGCCTTTTTCTCCTTGTCTTCTCTCAAAAAACGTCATATTTAAATCATTGTTACCGATAACTTTTCATTTATGACCATGCATGAAATGGATAATTATATGTCACCGGGCAATAGGAGAGACCTTTTTACAGCAAAGAAAGCGATAGAAACATGTGTTTGCTTTCCGGGTGAAAAACGCCGTGCAAAGGTGGCCGTGAGGCGCATTATGTACTAAATTTTAGCGATTCGTAAATTGACCGAAAAACGCTTCGAATAATTTGCGATTCGATTTCGAATATTCGGTTCGCTTGGACAGCCCTACTTGTTACCCAGTATTGGTTTCACCCTGAAACGCCTTATTCACGTTTCTTCAGTATATTGTTCGTACAAAGTGTATTTTTAATATAGGGAAAGAAATAAAGTATTGAATACTTACCATATCGACCAGGGCGATGTACAGAAACCCTCCAGCAGTGAACGCAAGAATCCAAAGTATGATACCACTCGTGTATTCACCCACAATGAGGCCTGTTAAAAGGAAATATACAATGTCAGAGTTTGTTCATGACAATAAAATTTACCAAATATGCGCCTAACAAAGTAAAGACAGTCAGTCAAAATAAGGCACCAATGATAAGTCTAACAAATCACAGACAGTCCAACAAGGCACAGACAGGCAGACATGAAACACTTATCAATGATAAGCACGGACAGGCAAACATGGCACTCTCACCAATGATAAGCCCAACAAAGCACAGATAGACAGACATAGTCCAACAAAGTATAGACAGGCAGACAAAAAAAACTTACCAATGATAAGTCCAACAAAGCACAGACAGGCAGATAAGAAATTGCATAGCAGAGCCTGTTTCACAGTCATTCCAGAATTGAGTAAAATCGCGAAATCGCCAAGTTCTTGCGGGATTTCATGAAAAAATATCGCAAGTGAGGTGCTGAGGCCGGCTCCAATACTACTGGTGAATGCTGCACCTGCAATACAGAAAAAGAATTTATAAATTGTGACTACTAATTATACGCTTTACTGAGTTAACATTTTCAATGTAAAAATGACATATTTATGAAGCATTTTGGCTTTGGATGAGTATTTAATAATAAAGCAGAGATGTAATGAACCATGACAGACAGAAGTAACTATACAAAATTACAATGAAGCGAGATGAGCAGAATTGGCTTGAACCTAAACTGTTCAAAGATGCAATGAAGCATAACTGTCAGAGTTGCTGCAGAGAATAATTCATAAATTGTTAGGCCATTCATAACATTGAACAGACAGTTCAGTAAAAAATTGCTTCCTAACAAAAATGCAATGAAGCATTTCAGCCAGAATAACTTAACAATTGCTAAGCCATTTGTGACATTGCACAGACAGTTGAGTAAAAAAATGCAGTGAAGCATGACAGCCAGAATCACTAACCAATTGCTAAGTCATGAGTGACATTTTGCACACAGGTATTTGAAGCATGACAGCTGGAATAACCTACTTACCGCTTGGCCATCCGCGACATTGTGCAGACAGGTATTTTTAATGAAAATGCAATAAGCATGACAGCCAGAATCACTAACCAATTGCTAAGTCATCAGTGACATTGTGCACACAGGTATTTACTATTTATAATATAAATGCGATGAAGCATGACAGCTAGAATAACTTACCTATTGCTAAGCCATCCGTAACATTGTGCAGTCCATCTCCTACAATCACCATCCAAGCAAGACTTGCAATTGTCTTTGGGACTTCATGAGAATGGTGGTGATGGTGGCCAGTTTCTTAAAAATAGAATTTTAAAGTTTAAACGCTTGTGCGATCATTCACTAAGACAGGCGTTGCCAATTACTCTTCTGAATGGGCCAGTTACAGATAATAGAATTGGTTACTGGGCCAGAGGCTCGAATATCAATATGAAAAACTGTGAATAGGAAACAGTTTATTTACAGCAGCTAGCTAGTCCTAAGGCTAGGGTAACGTTTATATAGTGATAAGGAGCAAAATCTAACAATTGAGGTCATTAGGACTTTATTTTCACCGATATTTTCAACAGAAATTTTTTCCAATAACAAGTATAGTCATAATTTCAGCAGACACGAGTGGGCGGGATGAAAAACTTCGGTGGGTCGTATCCTGCCCGCAGCTCATAATATGGTTTGGCCCCCATGGGGGATAATTATGTGCCAGAGAATAGATGTCATAGAATAGTTCACGGTTCGGTTACAAGCTTTTACCTCTAGAAAACTAATCACACAGATTATGTGGTTTGCGGATTTTATTATGAGACAGCATAATTATGCTATCTTATAATAAAACAGACTTTGCTCAGAATAAATACAAGTAAAAGGGTAACAAATTTTGTTCGCCTACTTTACATCAATTCGTGTAAAGGGACTGAAACTTATGGGCAGGAGGTATATTCACTTGGCTAACAACGACAGTCCCCAAACTTAAAATAGAACTAAAATAGGGATAATCGAAATAAAATTATGGCCTAACCCTAACCTGGTACACACACTATGTTAGTACCAGTAAAAGTGTGAAATTGCCTCATAATAAAGATCAATACAAAAACTCTAATCCAATACTAACCTAATGGTTCTTCATCCATGTCTATCACATGCTTATGTCCATGACCTGAAATAAAGAATTGAGTGTGAAAACTTAGATTAGAAATCTGTTATTCAATCAGCTGGTTCTAATCTTGACTAAAACACAGAGGTATCATTGAATTGTTCAGTATGGCTGTGATGAAATTGAATTAGCGCCACCTAATGTGGCCAACGCGGCACCAACGCCGAGCGATCTGAAGATGTTAATAGTCACGTGGCAAAGCGAGGGTTTTACTTAGGCCAGGACTGATGCACAGTGTAGAAAAAAATTTCTTATTTGAGTATAGCAGTAATGTTTAGGTTGATAAAAGCCTAAAAAACATCTAAATGAGTAAAAGCTATCGGGTCCATAAAATCAAGGTTTCCAAGACCCCCTGGCTGTGCCCCCGATCTAACAAAATGCAAAAAGATACTATTAATCCGGTTGGAATCAGATTGGCATCATCAGACTGTCTGGGAAAAACAGCTGCCAGACTTTGAACAACCTAACACTGTCAGGGAAAAAGAAGTATTTCGCAAAGCTATGATACAAGGGTGGCCATATTCTAGAAACCCTAAAACAGGGGTCTCAAACTCAATTTACTTGGGGGCCGCTGGGGCAGAGTCTGGATGAGTCCGGGCCGCATCAGGTTTTCCACAATAACAGCTTAGCAACTCGTTTAAATTGTTTTCCTTGTGCACTGCACTTTAACTGTGCAGATAAAACATGTCGGGATGCTCGTATGCTCAACAAAGAAATATTGCATTTCCCAGTTATTTGAAATTGTCTGTGCTCATCACCAACCTTGCTGTTTACTGAAACTTCTCTTCCAACGACACATTCGAGGATGTGCAAAATTATAAAATTCCATCTTGTATTAAGCATTTAGCCGATGGGAAACATGATTACAATGTATCAAGAAAGTGATTGTGACGTCAAAAATCATGGAACACTGTTTTTAAATTATTTCAGACGGTCCCGACTCCCGCGATCGAATATCAGGCCTACAGGTATGGTACTGGTAGGTTACCGCACCACATATTCCTTTTAGGGGATAGATGATAAAATATTTTGTTTTGCCCTATGTGAGAGTTCCTCTTTTTCGGCCACGGAACACTTACACTTTTTATATCTCCTCGCGGAACACCAAAAAATGAAAGGGTGAAATTGATTGACAAACTTTCAGCATTTGAAAGTAAAACCAGGTTGAGATCGAGGAAGAACGGTTGACCTTCTGCCCTTATTCTTTAGACTTACTTGTTTGTCTTTGATTAAATTTGATAATGAAATTGACAGTCAAAAAGCTAAACCGACGGTTAACATAAATGCCAGCACTCTAACTTAGTTAGTCCTCTTTAGGTTGACGGTGACGCGATCTTAAACGGTCAGTTGGGCAACAACTTCATGATTCTCAGATCGCCATGGCGACCAATTTAGATGTATTTTTGATTCCTTTTCTACGCAACACTCGGGAGATGCTCGCGTTACATTAGTGCTCCGCGGAACACAGTTTGGGAAACGCTGTTATAATGAAAGTATTAATCATGCTAACTGAGCTAAGTGACTTGCGGGCTGCACTAACATTAAACTTTAATACCAAGGCAGGGGCCACAAAATATCATCTCATCAGGGCCGCAAATTTGAGATCCCTGACTTAAAATATCAAATACAATTCCTTATCAAACTTTGCAAAATATTACTGCATACTCACCATTAGCTGTACCATTCTGTTCATGATGGGCATGGGAGATTCCGTTGACAGCAACCACGGGTACAGGACTCAGTGTGTTACAATCTGTAAATGCAATATAGAAAAAAATATTAAAAACATATTTTCATCCCACTTTGAGAGAAGCACTTTTTTGTCAAAAATAATTTGTGCAAATAGATGAATTGGTGTATTAATGGAGCATATTTAAATAGCATATGAAGCTATCACTACAGTAATAGTAGTAATCCAACCACAGTGCTCTTTCGATGACTTACTTTCCTATCCCACCCAACGTTACCCGGAAATACCGAAAGAATTTTTGAAAGCAATACTTTCAAGATGGAAAACTAATTTGAAGCATTGAGCAGGAAAAAAGATTTGTGATATTTATACCAGCTCCAAAAAGCAGATATTTCTTCTTTTAAAATGTCAGCAGTCATATTTTGTTATGAACTGTTACAAATTAGGTGGGCAATGTCTTGGGGATGGATGAATGCCTGTACGGAGCCAGTAAACAGATAACATGTATATAATATAAGAAAATGCCAGCGTACCTCCATTAGGTATCTTCCCATTAGGACTGTGAATTCTAAGCAGAGGTGACTCACTTGGCGAATAGATCACAGTGGAATCTAGTAAAGAATGTTATTATGAATGAATCTCTCTCTGTAGTTAGTATTCAGTTTAATTTTTTCACCACGCTAAAATAAACTTTGTATGAACAATATAAAAAAAAAACGTAGAAATGTCATTCCAGGATTAGCATAAAAAACCAGGGGCGCAGCCAGGATTTTTTCAAGGGGGGGGTTACGGTGAAATAAAAACGCGTTTATAGGTCTTTAAAAAGATGTTCCGACGATGGCAAAACAACATGTGCGTCGCTGTGTCTCATTAGCCTTTCTTTGCATGTCCTACTTTCAGCAATCGCCGACCATTCTCTTTGGTCAAAAAAAATCAATCAACTTTTCATTTCAATGCGCCGTTAACTATATTACTGAAAGTGAATTCGTCGCAAATTCAAATTCCTGTGATATTTGCACATAACGCTTCTCTACTTTTAGCGACGATTTATCAACATATTATTACCAGTTTGTTAATAATGCATGCTATTACTTTTGGCAACATGGTTAAATTGGTTTATCGTTGTTTCAAGCAAGAAAATAAGCATTTGTTTTCTTCGCTTATTCAGCAATCGTAATTCAAATATTTCCCTATGCGAAAGAAAGTCTTCACTCCGCGGGGTGTCTCCGCGGTGTTTTAGAGTTTCAAAGTGATGCCGAAACTGCCGATGATAGAGAAACACCGACACATGTGGCTATTTTTCGCCAGACCCTGCCCCCTTTGACATGCGTCAATTCGTTTATTTTGTTTTGGCATGTCCCATTTCAACCTTTTAGTAATCGCCGATTATTACGTCATTGTCAACAGTTAAATAAAATGCCATCGTCATGATTTTAATTGAAATACCGCAAAAAATGTAAAATAAGAATAGAATGAAATATTACCAATCATGAAACATTAAGAAATAGCATAAATTAATGATATTTGCCAAATGCCAATGGTTCATAAACTATTTTTGAGTGCGTCACGAAATATCAATCCATTTCCAAAATAAATATATTTGATGTTCCCGTATTTACAACTTCATAAAACGATTACAATCATTTAAAAACAAGCTCATGTATCGTACTGATTGGGAACGTCTTTCAATGTAAAACTCTTGCTTGTTGCAATTAACTGTTAATAAATTCTAATTTTTATTGCAATGCATCGAGACCTATATTACTGAAAGTGAAATCGTCGCGAATTTGAAATCCTGCGCCCGTGATAGCTGCATTCTGCGCATAACGCTTCTTCACTTTCAGCGATAATTTAACTATAATAATTTAATTATAATTTAATAACATATTGTTACCAGTTTATTGAAAAGATCTAGAAGACAACGCATGTAACTGCTTTTCGCAGACAGACGATTCCAAACGAGTCTTGGACGAGTTTGCTACCCAAAAATCTCGAAGATTGAACATTATTCTTTAAAAAAAAATTTCCCGAAGATTGAACATTATATTACGATACTTTTTACTCGAAGATTGAACATTATTTTGCAATGCTTTGTTTTCGAAGATTGAATAATATTTTATGACACCTTTTTTCCATGCTGCCACATTTGGCAATCCTTTGTTAATGAACCATACATTTCCAATAATTAATTTTGTCTGTTATTTGCTTATGATCCTGGTGCCATCGCTTGTTAAAGATGCACTACATAACTAAAATTCGTAATTAGCGATAAGCCGATAACCAACGATAACGTATGTGATTAAAAGTATGGATGCGTTGAATGTGGCGAGGCGAGAGCGCGCTTGTGGAATAGTTTTGACGGCAATAGTGTGATACGTCCGTTGCTATTTGTGTCAAGTGAAAGGTAGTACAATTGTATTTTAAGATGTTTAGTGTAGATTGTCACTTCCGTGACTCCCCGCTGGCAGCTAGATCCACTGCCGCGTAACAGCGATAACGAATCGTAAACATAAATAATAAATTAGGACGCTGGGCGAAAGTGATAACGCAAAGAATAAAATTATTGCAAGTAAACGTAACACTATTAAAAAAAAAAAAAGATTCCAAAGGGGGGGGGGGTTACGACCCATGTAACCTCCCCCCTGGCTGCGCCCCTGTAAAAAACCAAATGGTTACGGGCAGTGACACTCTTACTCATTCGGAATAATAATGATGTGGTGGAAATTAAATCTTGCGGAAGCATCATCAAGGACAAGTAAAAAGATTAGTGTTGGTAGGACATAGGGGTTAGTTTTATTATTGTTATGGGCATCAAGTCCATGCTTCCGAAAACACTGACTGGCTAACTAATACCATACCCGACATGGGCTGCTATTCGGACGAAAGGCAGTGAGTGATTCAACGATTAAGTCGTATTATCGCCTTTCCTCTCTCCCAGGATAAATATTCAATTCCTATCATATGAAGAAGCTGCTGTTTTGGAAGTACTGAAATCTATTCCATGGGTGAGACGCTTTACCCACTAGGCTACTCACCTCTGACTTTTGTATTATTTCTTGATGGTGAAGAAGAACTTGGTGAATCAGCATTACAGGAATGATTGTGTGTGTGGGTGTGATGATGATGCTTCTTGTTGTGCTGAAAAATGAAATGAGGCAATTAGTTTTATTATGACTTATGAGTTGTTTTCTATCGGGTTTTCACAGCATTCTAGGGTTCTGCCTGTAGAGTTCAGGACAGCAGTTCCCAGCCCGGGGCCAGAGCCCACCAAGGGGACCACAGAACAGTTGGATGGGGGGGGGGGGCACCATGCCAGGCGCAAAACTGATTTTACTTTTCCCTTCACCAGGAAACTCCCCGTCCTTCCTTGTTTCATTGCTTGATAAGGTTATTTCACAGGTTGTTTCAATTTTGTTGAGCATGAATTGTTTGACCACAATGGGATTTGGAATCTACCAATCATAATAATACTACAAATACCACTGGAATGATAAACAGGAGTCCATGAGTGCTGAATATCTTCGGAGGGGGGCACCGAGTGATAAAAGGTTGGGAACCACTAGTCAAGGGATTTCGAAAATTTTCATTCAAATCCGAGTGAAAAAAGGTTAAACTGATGTACACACTGACAATATACCGGTATTTGGTTGTATTAAAAGCTAAAATACCTTTTTCTTATGGATGAAACCCATGACAGTCTCTAAGACATAAAACACATAAATTCCAGCACATGCAACAAGCCCTTTCCACATAGAATCAAAATGATCTTTGTCTTCTTCTTCTTTGCCATGGTTATGACCTTCGTGACCTTTACCATGATCGTGAGCCCCGGAAGCCTGAATATAAAAATATTGAACTGCAATGTAAAAAATTTTGTAAAAGGTTTTTCTGGAAAGTGAGAACTTTTATGATTACGACAGGATTTGGATATTTATCCCAGAGCAAAAATAAATAAGATGGCTTTACTATATCCCAAAGAAAGGACGACAAATAAAACCATAGTTCATACCAAATTTTATGAAGTAAATTTGTAGCAAATTCTACTGGTAAAAATTATGAGATTAATTATAATTCAATGTCAGAACACCATTAATGATTTTTAAAGTTGAATTTCTATAAAGTAAATTTACGGCAGAATTGAGTTCCAAAATCCTACCGGAAAAATTCAGCACATGAACTTGTTGCAGAATTGGGTTAATGGATTCTACCGAAAAAAATTATAAAAAATACTGTTACTCCCGAAGTGTGTGTACCAGGTGAAGGAATAATTTTATTTCGATTTTCCTTATTTTAGTTATATTACAAGTTCGGGGACTGTATTAGCCAAGTGAGTATATCCCCCGCCAATAGGTTTCAGTCCCTTTACAAGTTTACACAATTTGATGTAACGTAGACGAACAAAATTAGTTACCTCCATATTGGTACATACACTTCTGGAGTGCCAAAATACTTACATGAGGTAGTAAATGCAACAATGCATCTCCAGCAAGAGTTCCAACAGCAAGTGCAACAAGAAACGCGATGATTCTATTCAAGATATGCGAGTGACCGATAAGAGGAATGAGCATGACCCCGAGTAAGCTCACTAAACTGATTAGAAGGACAGATCCAAAGGATACAAGCCAGACTGAAAACAAAAAAGCAATGTTTAACCGATGAAATGAATGGCAAAAGAAATTGTATGTTTCCTTCAGGATAGGATAGGAGTTACATATTTAACCTGAGGGAGGGGAACCACGACCTCCAATTACTAGTCGTCCAATTACTAGTCCATGTCATATATGGGATGAGATAGCCAGTTATTTGTTTTCAGATGCATGGACTTGATGGTGGAGGAATCTGTAACCGACCAGCGGTTACGTGAACCACCCAACGACAGCGAGGAATGCAGCAATCCTCTCGCACATAACCATCCTCGCATGGGATTTAAACCTGCCAAACCACACATGGTAATCAGAGATGCAAGGGAAAGCGTATTCCCTTATGGTTAGCACGATGAGCCACACTGCCAAGCCTTATATTAGGTATCATTATTAGATTTAGAGCCAATTTATCTTTCATCTCATTGAGGATAAATAAAGAACAGTTCGTGTTAGCAAAATGATGTAATATGCTATGAATAGTAGCAAGAATATAGCAAAGCAATATGTAGCTCGGCGCAACTTGTGGCTCAACGGGCTAAGCGTTAGGAATACGCTCGCCACCGCACCTCTAAATACTCTGCGTGGGTTCGCAGGTTCGAATCCCATGCAGGGATGGTTATGTGCGAGAGGATTGCTGGACTCCTCGCCGTCGTTGGTTGGTTCACGTTACGGCTTCCTCCATCGCCAAGTCCATGCTTTCGAAAACAAACAATATAACTAATCCCATACCCGACTTGGAATGGTAACCGGACGAGAGGCCGTGGTTCGCCATATGGATGAGCAGTCCGTCTTACCAGCTTTCCTCTCCCCCGGGATAAATATGTAAATCCTATCCTATCCTCCTCTTTTAAACTTACTATTTCTTGTTGTATGTTCAATCATGATTTTGCTTTTTTTGTGTTCACTCTCCTTCCTTTCCTCAGCGTGATCAGACTCTGAATGTAAAAAAAATGAATTTTGTTGAAACTATTTCAAATATATTTTAAAAACCTCTATTCTGTTAACCCATCAAACCATTCAGCCGTCAACTGTTTAAATGGAATTTCACCGTAATTCAATACTGGTAAAAAGTGTCAGTCGATAAATGTTTTAAGTAGCCTTTCATCTTAACTGCGGTTAATTTTGCATTACTTTTTAGCATTCTGTAGTATGGCAAGGGGTGGGATTCAGGAAGTTTAAACAATCCCGTTCTTTTATTTGTTTCAGACGGTAGACGAGCGCAGTATATGGGTGTAACATGCACCAAGCTGACGAATAGCATGATATTTTGCGTTTCTAAAGTCATGTATTGGATTTACGTAAAGTGTGTCATGTTATTGTAAGTTACGTAGTAACATAAGTACATTTTCTGAAATAAGGGAACCCGTTGTTAATGAGTTCTATACAAAAGAGAACCCGTTCTTGGATATATTTCTGAAATAAGGGAACCTGTTGTTAGTGAGTTCGATATAAAGAGAATCTGTTCTTAAAACATTGAATCCAATTACTGAGTTTGCTTTCTATGTTTAAATTTTTAATCTGGTTGATCAATTGAAGGTCATCTGAACTTGTTGAAGGTTATTTCAATGTCAAAAGGTCATAAGTCACACCGAGAATTAATCATTTCAGGTCAAATCATGAATTTTTTAAATTTCGGAAACTCCAAACAAATGTTATTAATAACTTAATTCTTTCAAGACTAGGCTGTGACTGGAGTCAATTTTTATAATGCGCTCCAAGCACCACCCACACTTGGTCAAAGGGATTGCAATAAATATTTAATGAGAGTGAAATATAATTGGAAATACAATGATCCCCCTTATTGTATCGGCTAATAAACAGTAGTGATTGACTCAACCCAAGTTATAATCGTAGTCGCCATCTATAAAAGAATCAAAGTGCAGGAGTATAGCCAGGACTTTTCAAAATGGGGGGGGGGATAAATTTTTAGAAACTGTAAGCGGGTCCGGTCGGAAAACGTTAGTTTTAAAGAGTCTAAGGGTAGTGAAAGTGTTTCCAGCTACGAAAAAATTGCTATGTATGTTACAGCTCATTTTTTATTTCAAAATCAGGTGGTGGTGGGGGGCGTTCTGACACGCAAAACCACATACTCGGTTACCCCAGGCAACGTGAAACAAGTCATTAAATTTTTCAGACATTTCAACCAAGTGTGGACTGCTCACCAACACTGCTCTGAATTAACGTATTAGGCATCTCCCCCCCCCCCCTCCCTACAAAAATATTCAATCTTACTCACCCCTCTCCAATCTACACTCAGGTCTCTTTATGTTGAGTAAAATCTCTGGGATCAGGGTCATAAAGTCACCCAAGGTCATGTGAAGGTCGTTGGATGACCTTGGTTGAAAATATGCTTTCATAAGATCTTTAACTGATGATATGCACTGAAAGTATAAACAATTATTTTTTTTATTTCGCTCATTTGTGCAAAAGACAAGCATTTTATAAAACAATCATGAATAAAACAGTACTAGTCATCAGGCAACGACATCACAGCTCTTCATATATATACTATACAGGGTGTCCATAAAGCCCCTTTGCAATTTCAATTTTGTTATGAAGTCAGTTCCCAATATATCTTAACCAGGTTTGTTGTTTTTCAATCAGTAATTGTTAGTGTTTTTACTTCATTTAATACATCTGTGAGGGCCAAAACAATATATGGTATCGATGAATTCCCTTTGCAATTTTGAAAAATTCTAAGACTTTATGGACAGCATATATATTAAGCTATGGATAGGAAAGATGAATGAATCGTTTAAAGCGTGGGAATACAGCGGTTAGTCATTCAACATTTCCTGAATGGCTTAGTTTTTATGTTGCAACAACACGCTCAATATAAAGGTTATGACTATTGAAGGCCGGTATATTTGAATACAGTTCCCATATTTATCTCATAAGTAATGTGGCTATAATTACAATCTGCTTACTTGAACAATCCTCTCACGCCAAACAATGCTCACAAGCAATACATAGCCAAAGAAGGGGTTTGGGGTTGGAATGTTTGAAATGTAAAAAATAGCATTTACCTTGAAACTCTTCAGAACCCACTCACTAACTTGGCAATTAGAAATTCCAGAATCCCGACCCCCCTTTGAAAATTCCTGGCTATCGCAACATCATATTTAACATGGCCACATTTTTCAGCTGGGTGAGACCATGAGTTAGAAAGGGTTAAGATACCAGTGTTCAGAATTAGAGTCGAGAACATAAATCATAGTAAACTATGTAGCAGCAGCTTCCAAAAAAGGGGGTAGGGGGGCCATGGGTAAGGATGCAAAGTATGAGTACTTACAAGTATTCAATTCTTATCCAATTCCTAAATTTTCGATTTCGAATCTCGATTCCTCGACATATCTTACCGAAAAACACATACCTATCTAAGCAATACCATATAAAATCAAACAAGAGCACAATGTTCAAATTTTGGACTGTCAAGAAGACCGGAACTAAGTAGTATGGGTATCCAATCTGTCACAGGAGACAAAATCTCACAAAAAAACGAATCCCTCAGAACCCACAGAGATTTTTAGAATAAATAAACGTTAAAGCCTTTTATCGAAATATTATAGTGAAGTGAAGTTTGCGTCGTCGTAGCAACTCAACATAGCAGTGAAGCAGTTTATGCATACATGTGAAGAAAATTGCCACAAAACTTTACACATTCTTTTCAATCCAGGTTTTAACCTCGAGAATCGATTCCAATGCGTCGGAATTGATTCTAGTCGATTCCGCAAAGATCGATTCTACAATCGAATCTGGACTCGATTCCGCCATCCCTACCCATGGGGCACAGAGCAGTTGCAGGGGGCCACAATGCTAAGCCCAAAACAGATTTTACTTATCACATTACACTCCCCGTTTCACTCCCCAATAGTTTCATTGCTTGGTTATTTCACAGGATGTTTTCACTTTATTGAGCATGAATTGTTTGAACATAACAGAATTTGGAATCTACCAATCAAAATAACACTATAAATTGGTGATCTGTAAAGAATCTGCTCATCAGCACTTATTAATATTATTGAAAATATAGGAGATCCCGAAGTATGTGCACCAAGATGGTGCACAACCTGAACATAGTATGTGTACCAGGTTAGGGTTCAGGTTGTGCGTAATCTTGGTGCACATACTTCGGGAGTGCATAATATTCATTTATATACGAACCGGTAGTTCATTATCATCTTCAGATCGCTTCCTTCGAGTGTGCGTTTCGTTGGCCTGAGCGAAATCGTTATTCGAATTTCCGAAAACCCCTTTATTAAATTCTGTATAATCTACCGAGTCGTCCCACACGAATGCATCATAATCATCATGATCATGACCTTCATGGTCGTGACCTTCATGGTCGTGACCTTCATGATTTTCATGGTCATGACCTTCATGTTCGTCCTTGAAAAGTCCAAGGTCACTCAAAAATTTTTCAAGTCCTTCTTCGTTGATTGAGCGCTCTGTGTTGTTTACTGTAGCGTAAGAACCGAAGAGATGTTCACTGACGCTGGACATTTTTTTTAACGCCTGAAAAAAAAAAAAATTTAAATGACTGATTTACAGGATGACGCAAAAAAAAATCGGTAACTTTCATAATTACTTTTATGAAGATAAGGAAAATTTGGTACTCCCGAAGTATGCGAACCAAGATGGCGGACATCGGAACGTAACATGGGTAACAGGTTAGGGTTAGGCGATCATTTTTTTCCAATTTTCCTTATTTTAGTCCTATTATCAGTTCGAAGACTAGCCAAGAGCCTCCCGTAGTATTTATACCTAAAATTATGGCCTAACCCTAACCTAGTACACATATTACATTCCGATGTCCGTCATCTTGGTTCGCATACTTCGGGAGCCCCGAAAATTTATTCAACTTCAGCTTCTGTTTATGTATGGTTGTACCCAAAAGTTCAGTAATCTAGCACACTTTGGAGAAAGTTATGATCTCTCTAAAACAGTGGTTGTCAAATGGCGGGGCACGTCCCCCAAGGAGGCGTAGACAATTTTTTTTGGGGGGGGGGTGAAGCTAATTGAAAATAAAAATATTTGTTATATTCAAACTTGCCCGCCTGAATATTAACACATCTTTACTGTTTACATTTCTTTATTATGTACAAATATATTCAATGTTTTTTGGAATAAAGCATACTTTCATGTTACTATCTGTTATTCGTAGCTTATTGTTAGCTTGTTATTTTGAAGTGCAGTGCGAGACTTGAAAAATTCTAAAAAGATGGCGTGGCTTAAAAAGTTCGAGAACCACTGTTTTAGAATATAAATATATATTAATTGAAATTTTTCACTTCATTTAATAATACACTCTATATGACGACTATTAGTTTCACAGAGCAAATCAAAGTTCTTTTACTTAATTAATACAGAATTTATGAACAACCTGTTTTACGCATATGTGTGAATGTATGTCTCATATGACTAAAATAATCTTCTGACGTCAGTGATGAATAAATATGTAAATGAATGGACTAAAGATGGCTTCTTAGTAGCAGTGAAATACCGAGCTGAAAATTTTTTGCGCTAATAATAGTAACTCCTTATGTTAGCCACTTGTAGAAAGTGAAAACTAACTTTCCATACAGAAATCAAATTTGAATATAACATGTTATGCATGACTAAAATAATATTCTAATGTCCATGACTCAGTGATGAATAAATAAGTGACAAATAGACTAAAGATGTCTCCCAACAAGGAACGGAGCCCATTGACACCGACTACATACACAGTCTTATGAAACCAATTATACAATAATTGGTACTCCCGAAGTATGTGAACCAAGATGCAGACACCGGAACTCAGTATGTGTACCAGGTTAAGGATGGGCAATAATTTTAGGTACGAATACTACAGGAGTTACTTGGCTAATCTCCGAACTCGTAATAGAACTAAAATAAGGGAAATTGGAATAAAATTATAGCCTAACCCTAACCTGGTACACATACTACATTCCGGTGTCCGCCATCTTGGTCCACATACTTCGGGAGTACCCAATAATTTATTACACCCCTGTGTTAGGGGCACAGGAATTGAACCCAAATTTTCAACCTAAGGCCAACGTTTTAACCATTAGACCAGCGGTTCTCAACCAAAGGCCTGTGGCCCCCTGAGAAAAGTTGACTTTACACGCTTGTCTGAAGAAGTTTGACCTCCGACAAACAAGATGTTACAGAAATATATTTTGTATTAGTGTGCGGCAAGGCTCTTGATCCAAATGGAGTAGTCATGTTTACTCTTGCTACAGTATCATTGCATTATACACATACGGATCGGATCCACTTGCGCAAAGGCATAAACAAGGAAGGATAGTTAGTCTTGTGAAACCCCGGCTGATATTTACTTTCAGAATAATATTTAGTGACGCCGACAGAAAGCAGAACACAGAATCAGAACATTGTAATGCTAATCCTTCTCTAGATATAAAGTCGGAAACCTAAGTTATTAAAATGTTGAATACTTCACGAAATGCCCCCCACCCTTAGTACTTCAGGTATCGGACCATCTCAAATCAGAATCTAGATCAAAACACACATATTTATGGGCAACTTACTTGTTTGCCATCTCTATCTGGAATTACTGAAATCTCATGGGTTCGACATTGCCTATTTACTACTTATATTTACTTTTGGAATGAAGTTATCGACGCCGACTCGAAGGCGTGGGAGCAGAACTGAGAATCAGACCATTGCGATGCTAATCCTTTTTTAGATATCATTTCAGAAATCTAAATTAAACATTTTGACACAAAAAGTCAAGGTTGTTATTAAAATAACGATCAGTAGAGGTTGCGCGAGACTAACTCCCAATCCTTTCTCTATGCCTTTGCGCTAGTGGATCCGTATGCATGTAATGCAAGGATGCTGTAGCAGGAATAAAATACCATAATATGCAATTCAAGAGTCCTGCTGCACACTAACACAAATATATTTCTGTAACGTTTCGTCTGACCAAAATCAGACTTCTGCTTGTCTGAGGAAGTCTGATTTTGGTCAGACGAAACGTTACAGAAATATATTTGTGTTAGTGTGCAGCAGGACTCTTGAATTGCATATTTGTTATTAAAATTTTGAATATCCAACAAAATGCCCCCATCCCTAGAACTTCAAAGTATCGGCCCATCTTAAATCAAAATCTAAATCAACAAATAGACATTTATAAACAGAGGCAATAGCAGTGTGATTTATGAAAAACTTTCTGGTTCGTCATCACTGTTTAGAATTATTGAAATTATCTGGGTTCAAATACTATTTACTTTTCGAATAAAATTAAACGACGTAGACAGGACAATCGGAGCATTGTAAAGCTAACCCTTCTAAATATCAGGTCGTAAATCTTAGTTAAACATTTAAAAACAAAATCTCAAAGTCAATGTTGAAGGAAGGTAATAATCAACTATAGAGCTCTTTGTATTGTATAGGTTAGTGTAATACTACATAATACATTAGTAAATATTATTGAAAGAACAAAGAATTCTTTCTTATGGTAAAACTCCTCACATAAACATTTTAGACATTAAGTCTGGCATCTGAACCAAACAAAATATCAAAAGTTCAACAAAGATCAAATATTATGATCTGTTTTTGGAAATGTAACATGTTGTTTTCGCAAATTTCAATTTATTGGTCCCTCAATGGTTCCCAGAATTTTATCAGTGAATCTAATCAAACTAAAGACTCCAAATATCAGAAGGCATCAAGACTAACATTTGAATCAGTGGTTTTCACACAGTGTTGCATACCCCACAAGGGAGGCATGGACAATTTTTTGGGGGGCGTAAAGCTAATTAAAAATAAAAATACGGTACCGGTAGGCAGTGTTCCCTCTAAAGTGTGCGCATGTGCGCGTGCACACAGCTTTCAGAGGCTGCGTACAGACTAATTTTGATGTAATGTAACAATGTTCTCGGTTGGCAGGTTGAGAAAGTTTGTTGTTAGCCCACTCATTACTTGGTTAAACGCCAAAATTTCTTCTTGGTTTGTGCACAAATATTAGTCATTTCCAAAAAAGTGCGCACACACCAAAATTACTGCGCACACATAGTACAAAAAATTAGAGGGAACATTGCCGGTAGGCATTTTTTATATTTGATCTTGCCCGCCTTTTGGATTTACATTTCTTTATTTTGGATATTTACGTTCTTTCCGTGTATTTTCAACGTGTTTTTTCCATCTGTTATTTATAGCTTACTGTTAGCTAGTTGTATTTAAGGTAGGGCGCGAGACTTGACAAATTCTGAAAATGGGATGCGGCTCCAGAAGTTTAAACACCACTGCTTTCACCATTGGTTTACCACACTCAAAGATTTAAATATTTCGAAAATCGGAGTTGAACATTTCAAAACAAAACTCAAAGTCAATGTTGACAAACCCAAATTTCAAATTGTTTACTTTCCAACAATAAAAATTCCCGACATCGAGTCTAGTGTCTAAATTGAACGGAAAATCAAAATTTGATTCAGGATCAAATATCGGTTTCTGAAATGCGAAACAATGTTTTCGAATAGTTTGACCTCGAGGGCGCCCAAAATTCTGCTAATCAGCCTTCGCAAAACAAATGCTCCAGACATCTAGTCTGTCATCTATTGATTCATATTGCTGAACAGAAGGATAACTGACACAGGCCAAATATTATGATCTGTGTGAACTTGAAAATTTTAAGTAAAATTCTAGATCAGGGGTGGACAAGGTTTTAGGACCAGAAAATTCTCCCACCTAGACTGACGGAGTATGTAAGTGTGACGTAAAAAGTTACATTTCATGAACAATATTTGCAGTGTTACAAAAGTGGAAAACAATAAGCCTTGTGCCAAAACTTAATTTAATCGCAATCTCAACAAATTATGCGTTAAGTAGGCTATTAGATTTATGTAAAGTAGCGGTTCTCAAACTTTAGTCGTGCCCCCTTTTTAAAATTTGTCAAGTCTCGCACCCCGCCTCAATAATAACTACCTAACAGTAAACTTTATACAACAGATAGTAAAGCAAAAGTAGGTATGTTTTATTCAAAAACATGTTGAAAATTCGTCGATGGAACGTAAATAATGGAATAAATGTGAAGTTTCGAAATGTAAATATCCAAAAAAGGCTCACCAGATCAAATTTAACAAATATTTTTATTTTTACTCAGCTTCACGTCCCCACAAGAAAATTGTCTACACCCCCTTCAGTTTGAGAACCACTGATGCAGCGGTTCTCAACCGAGGGCCCTCGGCCCCCTAAGGGGGCCACAGAGGAGTTGGAGGGGGACCACAAGGATGAGCTGAAATCTGAATTTACTTTTCACTTTAAAAGAAATCTCACAGTTTTTCCTAGTTTGCTGCTCAACAAGGTTATTTCGCAAGGTGTTTTCGCTCTCTTTTGTGCAAATTGTTTTAACATAATGGGATTTGGAATCTATCAATGAAAATAACCCTATTAATACCTCTGGAATATTAAAGTGGGGGCCATGAGTGCTAAAAGCCTCCGAAAGGGGGCCACGAGTCATAAAAGGTTGAGAACCACTGATGACCTGATGGGTCATGTTAATGTAATGTTTTTGGAAATAAGGGAACCAGTACTTAAGATTTTGAATCCCATCATTGCGCAATATGTGAAATATATCTGCCAGATGTTGAATATCTAGACCAGTGGTTGTCAACCTTTTTAAGCTGTGCCCCCTTTTAGAATTGGTCAAGTCTCCTGCCCGTCTCAAAAATAACTAGCTAACAATAAGTTACAAATAACTGATAGTAAAGCAAAAGTATGTTTTATTCAAAAAACACCTTGAAAATACATGGATGGAACGTTAAAATCTAAAATAAAGAAATTTAAATATCCAAAATAAGACGGGCAAGAACGAATCTGAAAAAATTTCTTAATTAGCTCCACGCCTCCCCCCCAAAAAAAATTGTTTACGCCCCCTTGTGGGCCGATTCCCAACCGTTTAAGAACCACTGTTCCAGACCAGTGGTTGTCAACCTTTTTTTCGTTTGTGGCCTATTTTGGTTGCAAAAAAAAATTCTGTGGTCACTTTACTTTCCATGAACTGGAGAAAAAGAAAAAAAAAACAGAAAGTACTTTCCTGTAAAATCGACTCCCGATTTAATATTTAGAAAACAAATAAAATTGCCACAAGAAACAACAGCATACATAACAGGGCCCCAAGGCATTTTTATTAATTAAATTGTTTTCCCAAAAATACTTTTCTGGCATGTTTATTTAAAATTCCCAGGAATTTGAAAGCCTGTTCTTATGCAAATATTTAATCTTAATCCATAAAAACTCAGAAATTACTAAAGTGGCATGAAATTTGCCAAAAATGCCTGCTTTATTTCAAAACAAGAATTTTGCCCAAATTTCACACAAAATAGAATTTTTTTTTATTAAATTCTCAAACTCTGTAAAAAATAGTTTTATAAAAATCAATTTACCCTGTATGAATAGCTAAGGTAAATATTATTCACAATATTTTTATGGAAAAAAAAAAAAATTTCAAATTTTTGCTCAAAATTTGCGACAAAAGTTTTATTTGAACTAGTTTACCTCAGAAGGAATTCAAATAATAGGAAACAAATTTCCGAAGTCTGTGAAAAATTTTTCATTAGAAATCAATTTAATCTGTATGAATAGCAAAAGTAAATATTATTCACAATTTTTTTATTGAAAAAAAAAATTTCAATTTTCGCTCAAAATTTCAGACAATAGATTTATTTGAACTAGTTTACTTCAGAAGGAATTAAAATAAAATGAAGCAAATATGAGAGAAAAAATTTGTTATCTTGTTAAAATATGTTCACATTTTTACCTGAAAACTTGAGTTTTCATGAGTCTTGAGATCTAAGTCACATGTGGCCCGCCGCGTCATTATCTGTGGCCCCCGACGCATTTGCGCGAAGGTAAACAAAAAATGGCATTTGGAGTTGTTTCGTCATAAAAATAACCAAAAAATATTTTGATGTCACTGAATTGAGTAGTGTTATATGGCTATCTGAAGCAACTAGCGAAGTTGATTTATGTGCTTGGGTTGGTTAAATTGTTATCTGGCTTTCCAATTTTTTGGTCGGGAATATATGCTCACAAAATAGGCTTCATAGAAAACTAAAAATCGAACGAGGAATCCATTAGCCTAGGTTGGCTATGCCTGATAACTGAATATAATTCCTGCCAGATCATTTTTGCAACCAGCCTAAACAGTATTACAAAAATGTAGTAATTATCCTCCTGTATCCTAAATTTGGTAAAATTCGATAATCAATCAATCTGCAGTTATTTGTAAGTTATTTTGTAAACATGAGTTTGAAAAAAAAGCTGACCAATTCAAACAAATTTTTTGACTGGATATTGTATACCGTAATGGTTGCTTAATATGTCTGCAAGTTGTGTCGGTGACAATCTAAAACGGCATTTTCTCCGTTAAAAAAAGTTTGAAATCTCACACTAAGTGTAGATATAGTAAGATTTTAGCACGTTTTAGTGAGTTTTTTGGTGGTTTATGCATGTTTTAGCTTGATAAATGACAAATATTGATCAATGTGTTTGGACAATAGAAATGTTTGTTTTGTAATGCACTGTTTACCCATTCTAGGCACTATTGTGGCCCGCGAACAATATAAAAATGATAATGTGGCCCGCGAGACCAACGACCTTGGACCACCCTGGTCTAATTAGTGTTCAAGCTACATAGAATTGTTATGTATGATACACAAAAATGCTTTTTTTTATATTCCAAAAGGGGGGAGGAGGGGATTCTGATCCCCAAAACGAATGCATAAGTACCGGTAATCAATACACGGTGCTCCCGAAGTATGCGAACCAAGATGGCGGACATCGGAACGTAACATGGGTAACAGGTTAGGGTTAGGCGACAATTTTTTTCCAATTTTCCTTATTTTAGTCCTATTATAACTATAAGTTCGAAGACTAGCCAAGAGCCTCCCGTAGTATTTATACCTAAAATTATGGCCTAACCCTAACCTAGTACACGTATTACATTCCGATGTCCGCAATCTTGGTTCGCATACTTCGGGAGCCCCCAATACACAAATGCCTTCGGTATATGACTGAGTGGCAACGATACGACCTTTTGGGGTCATCAGAGTATGTTGCTACCCAATACAATTAAACCATGTGTCTTCACAAACACACAAAGCAGACAAACATTGTGATGGCAAGGACAAATGTTAAAAAAATTTTTAAGTTTCATTTGAAAAATTACAAAATGAAGCATTTTTTGTGCAAGGCCATCAAATGTCAAACTTTAGGAAATGAATATTGTGAATCATTCTCAAAACCTAAATTTTAATTGAAGTGCCTTCCAGTGGAAATTAACAAAAAATTTGTTTTAATTATACTAATTATTCTTAATTTTTTCTAAAATCTAAATTTAACTCCGTTTTAATCAACTCAAATATTTGATTCAATACAGATATCCACAGATTTTTTAAGCTGAATTTCGACAACACGCAGAACAGAAAAATTTTAAAAATTTTCTTTCTGTCAAAACTCTATTTGATCCATCTAAAGAGTAAATATTATTTGTCATATTAATAGAAAAGCTTCTTTGATGCTAATGTCTGTGATATTTACTTAAAACCACAATACAATGTTTTTAGGTGTTTTGAGTCTTCTACCCTCTACAGGGTCTTCTTTATTTTAAAGTTCTATAAATAATTATCTTTCCTTTACTCTGAAACGTATTGCAAACATCAGCTATTTGATGTCAGAGTCAGAGTGAAAGTAATATTTGACATTTACGAAGACGAAGGACCAGAAATTTTCAAAGGGGGGAGGGGGGTATTCTGAAATTTTTTAATCACCAAGTTAGACCATAACAGCGAGCAGGTTCGAAAAAGTGCTTTTTTGCATCACAGAAGGGGAGGGGGGTACACCCCTACAAAATTTGGAAATGAAAACATTTTGTTAAAATGTGTTTACTTTCTTCTAAAAAGTTGCTTAAACATCAGCTTTTTGAAGCCATTGTGAATGGAATCTCTCACATTCAGGGATTTTTTACCTGCGATGTTGCGACCAACCCTAGAACTATTTACTTTACCATTCCTTTCCATCCGCTCTTTGATCTTTATTTTGAAAGTAATTTGTGACATTTACTTAAGACTTCTGAAGAAACATGTGGACAACGCTCGTTTACGACATTCGCTTCCTTCAAACAAGCCACTATGTAAGCGGCCATGGATATGTAAAACATTTTAAATTTGCTTGGTTGTGCAAAAAAGCAATTACAAAAAGCGCAAACAACAATTCAACAATATTCAGTCACTTTTCTGCAAATAAATGAAAACTTAAATGAATTCACTCAAATTTATTCACATACCTCAGCATTTGACTCAATCTTCAAATAACAGGAATCTCCGTAACATTGAATATTTCCGGATGAGGGGGGAGGTTGGGGAGTAGTTTCTAGAGGATGAGTGTTGTCAGGAGCTAAAACAAAAAAAAATTTTCATCAATAAACTCACAAAATAAATCGGAAGTAGGAAAGATGACGAAGACCGGCGATCGAGAACCACTGGCATAGACACCAAATCGCTAACGCAAAAAGTGCATCAGTTTTGTATTTGGTAATCTTAAATAAAAATTTCAAATTGCTTGAACTTTGAACCCCTGTAAGATGACCCGAATATAAGCCTATCTGATAGCTTGTATTGAGCCTTTTTTAGGGCGCTCTGGAAGTATTCGGACCAAGATGACGCACAACCTGAACAACCCTAACCTGGTACAATACTATGTTCAGGTTGTGCGCTATCTTGGTAGGAATACTCCGAGAACCTTTTTCAGAGTGTAGCACAGCGGTTGGCAAACTTTTTTGAGCGAGGCCCAAATAGTAAAATGGGCTCCAGACAGAGCCCAACAACTTTATTACAAATTTTAAATTTAACCAACTCATTAATAAGGGACATTTAATTTGTTGATTCGAAATAAACGTAATGTATCGTTTAATACATGAAAAAATTGTTATATGTAATGTTGGATTTATAGAACTTTCATGTGTCTGCCATAATTGAAATTTATTAACTACTTTGACTTATAAATATTTAATGACCTTGGTGAAAGTCTTTGAAACCAAGGTCATACGAAGGTCAAAAAGGGTTTTCCATCTTCCAGAATGACGCTGATTAATATTGTATGGATTGAGTACGCCAACAAAATTATGATGAATAAATATTTAGAAATAAATATCATAAAGTAAGACAAGAGTGAAAGAAAGTAATGCTTGAACATACAAGCTAAAAATAGAACCCCCCCTCCCCAAATATGCAGTGCGCCATCTTTGAAACTTACCTGCGATGCAATGTCCAACAGCGAAATAATACAGCAGGAAACAGAGAATGCAAAGTTGCTGAGAACTGAAAAAAAAATGAAGATTAGTGATTTATTCATCTAAATGGAATCACTATAACTCGATTTAAATGGAGAAAGAAATAATAATAAACAATAAACAAAGCAGAAAATAGTAAGTACGGTAACTCATGAAATGCTTTAAGTATTTTGAATAATGATGAATAGAGGAAGAAAAGAATGCATATGAGACGATAAAAGCAGAATTGATCCCCAAGGCAAGCTTCAAAAATACTAGCAAGAAATTTTAGATATTTCGTACAAAGACATCGTCTCTAATTCAAAAATGTGAGATTTGACAAAAAACGCCACGTTTTGAAATATCAAATTTGTTAAATTGTTAGTGGTTTAGGAATGATTTGAAAATTTGAATTTCTAGTGCAATCTGCATTCCTAGCCTAACTGGATAATTGCTAATTTTCCGATTTTGAGCATTGGCCGAGGCATTTTGTTTTTTGTATAAAATATCTGAAACTTCAAATTTTCCAATAGTCTCAAATCTTCCTAAATTTGTAAAAAACTCAATCAAAATTGAAAATATATTTAATGAGAACTAACCTGCATTTTAGTACTTTGAATATACAATGATGATCATTGTTCCTCCCCACATGACGAGCTCTCTTGCTCTCCCAGTGGATGAGACCAGTAGCAGCTTTCGTAGATGACGTCGTAGGATTGCACATGGCTAATATTGAAGGTAATTTTGATAAAGGATTGGTAACTGTAAAATAATATGGAATAATTGGAGAGAGAAGAAAGCATAATATGTTGGCAAATACATAGGATAGGATTTTTATATTTGTCCGTATAAACTACAATAAGATTGCTTATTTATATGGCGACTTCCTTGTCCGGTTACCAGTCTGCCAGTAATGAATTTTCGGTTCTCCCGTAGTATTTGAACTAAGATGGTGGACACCGGAACGTAGTATGTGTACCAGGATAGTTTCAGGCCATAATTTTTATTTCAATTTTCCCTATCTTACTTCTATTACGAGTTCGGGGACTGGCCAAGTGACTCCCGTAGTATTTGTACCTGAAATTATGGCCAAACCCTAACTTGGTACACATACTACGTTCCGGTGTCCGCCATCCTGGTACTCATACTTCAAGAGCGCCGAATTTTCTCATGTGAAAGTGGCCCACGACACCAAGAAGGTTGGGCAGGTCTGCACTAGATTATCATGCTCAGCCTGTTAATGTAATTCAACTATCCTTAAGCCTGCTATTACTTATATTTTAAAATATCAGTGCATATAAGCTTATTACAAATCTCTTAATCATATCAAGACGCACTGAATGCTTTATCTGAGAGATAATGATACTGAAGATATGGATTGATAATCAATATAAGATAAGCCATTGTTTTTAGATAAGCATGTCATGCTGTAGATATCGTCCCCTATCCACATTGAAATATTATCGCAAAGAGAGAAAAGCTAATAATATGGCTTAATCAGAGAGAAAGAGAGACATAAAATACTACAGGGCAATACATTGTGGCATGAAATATGAATGGAAAACCATGACTAGATATTTCCAATCCGGATTGAAGCTTGTGATAATGCACGTCTTAGTCGTATACGCAAATATCACACAAGTACTAAAGCTAACTAACTTTTTCTTCATTACCCCCCCCCCCCCCCCCAAATAAAAAAAAGTGACCTCCAAAACCGCATGTCGGCTTCCCATTGAATACCAAATGATAGCTGTTGCTCTGATATATAAGGTCATTATCAATAAATAAAAGTTTAATTATATGAAACAGTAGTCACTCTCCCCATTTCCCCATACAACCCCGAAAAAAATAGTAAACTCTGAAAGCACTTGTTGTCCCATCCCCTCTTGAATACCAAATGAAGGCCTTTGCTCTTGCGAAAGGTCATAATCATGAACTCTATGTATAAGGGGGCAGAAAGTACGTAAATTGTCAAATAAATTATTCATTATTACGTAACGGACGCAATTTTCACTTCGAAAACTTTTATTGCGGACACAAGTCTGACAATAATAAAGCAAATTTCAGTCAAAAAGGAACACTTTTAATCAATTTAATTCCGATAGAATTTTCTGCGAATTTGTGCTTGGGAGAATAACAAATTTACATAAATTAATTAAAAATTTACTTGACAGAAATGTAATAAAATTATTTCCGGTAGGAATTCATGCAAACTTCTGTCTGTAACAGGTAGACCGGAAAATCATTCGACATGAACAACACATATGGATCAGTTGGCTAAATGTTGATAATATTGTAAATAAATTACTTTCTTCAGAAGCCTATTAGTCTACTGAGTAAGCTTTTAACAATAAATATCATAGAACTAGTATATTTTACGCGTCCACATAATCAAAAATTCTTAATTTTTAAATGGGAAATTCGTTATTTCATATCAATGTCATGATTTTTTGATGAAAATTCAGCAAATTTAATGCGGAAAGACAATGTCTGAATAAAAACTAATATCCTACAGTCTACTTGAGCAAGCTTTTGAAAAAAATATTAGGAAATTTTTTTAGCGTCCACATAATTGGAAACTACTTTTTTTCAAATGTGAAATTCGCTATTTTTGTATCAATATCATGATTTTTTGATGAAAATTAAGCAAATATAATGCAGCAGAATAATGTCTGAAACGAGAATATCGGTCGGAGACCGAAGACGTATCGAATGAAAGTTAGGGGATCCCCCAAAACAGCGCTTTTACTCCATAGTGACATCGTGTGTCCTATCACTAATTAATTAATAACTTGCTAATTATACGACATAATTCATCCAAAATCAATAGGCTTCTGGTCCGAGCTATGGTTAATGCACATGCAAAATTTGGAGCAGATTCAACCTCACTTTCATGAGATATCGCGTGCATCTAACAGACAAACAAACAAACAGACAAATACCTATCAACATACTCACCGATCTTGATAAGTAATAATACTAACATCCTACAATGTACCTGAGGGGGATTCAACGAGAAATATTAGTAATATGTGTATAAAGCGTCCACACAAAAACATAACCAAAAACTGATATTTTTTATGTTTAATTCCTATATTCATATCAGTTACCATCATTTTTGATAAAAATTTAGCGAATATAATGCGGCGAAAATGTGTATTTTAAGCGCCCACATAATTGGAAACTCTTATTTTTTTTATGTTAAATCGCTATTTTTGTAAAACTTGCATAAAATACTTTTATTTCTATATGTAAAATAGGCTTATTACTTATCGATCTTAAGATCGGTAAGTATATTGATAGGTATTTGTATGTCTGTCTGTGTGTGTGTGTGTGTGTGTGTTAGATGCACGCGATATCTCACGAAAGCGGGATTGAATCTGCTCCAGATTTTGCATGTGCATTCATCTTATCTCGGACCAGAATCCTATTGATTTTGGGCGAATTATGTCGTATAATTAGCGAGTTATCAATCAATTATTGATATAGTGATCTAGATTTTTGTAAAGCGAGAGAATTTTGAAACCCGCCGAGTGTGTGTGTGCGATGCGCAGTGCGCAAGTTACAAGAGCGGATGAATCGAAACTGCAGTTTCTGTTTTGGGGGATCCCCTAACTATCGATCGATAAGTCTTCGGTTTCCAACCGATATTCTCGTTACAATATTATTATATATTTAGAAATTCATGAATGTGATTTCTCTTTTATATTGAAAATTATGAAACTATTATAACTGGAGTCATCGAGTTTCACTTTTTAAACAACTGAAAATCAGTCACTGAAAGTCTCTCATATGGAACAATGCGCTAAATATATTTTGATATTCACTGTATATACCAGATGTGTGCAAAGTACGGCCCACGAGCCAAATCCGGCCTATTGGGTAATTCAATCTGGCCCGCCTGATGCTGCCACAACCAAATTGAAAACAAATTTTGATGTTTTAGGTAAAAATAGCTCAAGGAATTTGTTGACATTGCGGTTAAATTTAGTTTTGGCACGAGGCCTATTGCTTTTGTAACACTGTGAATATTGTTCAAAAATTTACCTTTTTACGTCACACTTACATGGCCCGCCAGTCTAAGTGGAAACAATTTTTGGCCCCCGGTCCAAAAACCGTGCTCACCCCCCTGGTATATACTATGACTCATAACCTTATCTTGATATCTTTATCTTAGATTATTATCATCACCTATTTCCAAATAACTTTGAATTTTTATTTTACAAGTTCATGTAGGCTAGTCAAAGTTAATGTTATTATTTGAATTTTCCATTTTTCTATAAAAATGATGAATTCTTTTCAAGTAATTTCAGAAAAATTAGTCATGTGACTATAATTTTTGATGAGATAAATTCATTTCGATATTGAGAATATTTAAAATTAAAACAAAAAACTTTCCTTTTTCATATTGACAATTATGAAACTATATTTTATCTTATGTCATTCACTTACAGACCATTTTCAAAAATCGAAGTGTCTCGATTTGAACTTGGGTACTCCCGTAGTATGTGTACCAGGTTAGGGTTAGGCCATAATTTTATTCCGATTTTCCTTATTTTAGTTCTATTACTAGTTCGGAGACTGTCTGTGTCAGCCAAGTGAATATATCATCCCCTGCCCATAGGTTTCAGTCCCTTTACACAACTTGATGTAAAGTAGGCGAACAAAATCAGTTACCTCCATATTGGTACACATACTTCTGGAAAACAGAAATTTGTGTGTTTCAGTGTGATAAAAAGGGTTTACAGAATCTTCGTTCCATGGACGTTTCGCCTCAGACGATTTGAGATATGATTTTGTTTTAAATTTGCCATGGGGATTGTTTAAAAATAATGTATATACCAATACATGTGTATTTATAGGACATTTGGGGGTGCTCCCGAAGTATGCGAACCAAGATGGCGGACATCGGAACGTAACATGGGTAACAGGTTAGGGTTAGGCGATAATTTTTTTCCAATTTTCCTTATTTTAGTCCTATTATCAGTTCGAAGACTAGCCAAGAGCCTCCCGTAGTATTTATACCCAAAATTATGGCCTAACCCTAACCTAGTACACATATTACATTCCGATGTCCGCCATCTTGGTTCGCATACTTCGGGAGCCCCCATTTGGGCATAGTTAGTGTTTTATATCACCTAGTGATCGAAAGGTCTGGGGTGAATCATACCTGAACTAAAAAGTCTGTGAACCATGAATAACTACTGATCAGGACAGTTTTTCTCAACCTTTTTCAGTTCGCAGACCGGTAAAATTTCAAAACACATATCGCGGACTGGCGAACCTTCAAAATTAACCAAAAAGGTCATGAACACAAAACATAATTAAAAAGAATGCAATTACGACAAAAGTAGGCGGTGCAATTTGCTTAAATATAATATATTAATATCGGAAAATATTTGGCGGACCGGAAGCAAGGTTGACGCGGACCGGCGGTTGGGAACCACTAGATTAGGATATGATTTACTTATTTATTCCGAGGAAAAGTGAAACTGATAAGATAGCTTGATCATAATATGTCGAACCATGGCCTTTCGTCCATGTCATATATGCGGTTACGTGAACCACCCTACCTCAGCAATCCTCTCGCACATAACTACCGGTATCCTCGCATGGGATTCGAAACTGCGAACCCACGCAGAGTAATCAGAGGTGCAGTGGCGAGCGTATTCCCAACGTTTAGCACCATGCACCACACCTACAGGCTAAGATCCAATCAAATCCTTTACACAGCCAACACAGCGGTAAGGAGAAAAGAGCAGCACTTCGCTGCTACGTTGAATCAACCAATAATTAAGAAACTATATTTTCCCTTACTGCCTTAGAGCATACAAATGAAAAAAGGAGACTCTTTATGAGAAACAATTTAACATGTAACAGAGTAGGTAATTTTTCTTTTGTCCAACCCTTTAAACTTAAATTATGTCCACTTTAAACCTTACTTGAGGTTTTGTCAGCTCTCCTAATTCTGTAATCAGTTTTATCGAATCGCTTTTATCAATTTATCTATCTCTGTTATGCTCATTATGGAATCGAAATAATCTGATCTAACTTAACTAAGCCGGCAATCTAAGTAACATGAAAGATAATATAGTAAATAAAGAGTTCCGTGTGAAAAATCGGTGCTTACCCATTCTAAGGCGTACCGTGTGCAAAACTATCCTCCTCGTGGCGATTTTGATTTTCTTAAAGGTAGCGACTCAATGTTTCTTCTTTGCTGATTTCTTGAGATTTTTTATAAAGACTTTTTTTTCCAAAACGTATTGTTTATTGATAAAATTACTATAAAATTTTTTCCTGCAAAAATAAATAAATTTAGATCCAAAATTGAGTGATTTCATCAAAATAATATTCAGCCTGGAATACGTGGCTCTTCCTTTAAGCGTTTGGTCTGTGAATGGAGCGTCTTCGATTAAGTACCGCCATTTTGAAGAGTCATTGTAAAGCGCTACCGCAGTTTCCGTTGAGCGCCTATTTTGGGCGTTTCCAGACGTTTCTACGTGACATATTTGACTATTCTTACGCGCATAGGCGCCGTATATAGTGTGTTCGTGCTAGCTATTGAAAGGAAGTTGTGAAATACAATGGAATTTCATCACTATTTCGCAATATGCGATAGAATGTCGACATACAAATACGGGCATGTAAACGTCTTACAGTAAAAAGACAAGGGGATTTTAAGTAGAAAATAAATGGTTCGCTCTGAAGTATGTCATGGTATGAAATGTTGCAACTATCTTAGTTTAGATTTTGCCCCACTTTGTCCTACGTGACAGATTTGATTATTTACGCGCATAAGAGCCGTATGGAGTGAGTTCATGACAGCTATTGAATAAAAGTTGTGAAATTCAATGGAATACCAATACGGGCTACTGGTCCTAAAAAAAAGAGTTAAGAACCCGTTTCAAAAAAAAAACTCGGGCTTTCTGCAAAAGATCCGACAAACTTGAATTTCCAGCGCAAGCTGCTTTCTATCTAGTCAATCCAACGACTAACAGAGTCAATCATTTCTTATTTTTGAAACGTGGTGGGGTGGTTTCTCAAACGATTTGATTGGTTGATTTGATATATACAAATGAGATGGCTATACTGTATTAATATTGGAGATGGGATGCATGTACAAGACCATATTGACCTGCTATTATCGCACCACTATCTTGCGTCAGGTTTTGTCCTACATGACAGATTTCAGTATTTAGGTGCATAAGCCCGTATAGAATGAGTTCGTGCTAGCTATTGACAGCTATAGCACTTTGTTCCACGTGACAAATTTGACTATTCAAGTGCATACGCGCCGTATGGAAAGAGTTCATGACAGCTATTGAATAAAAGTAGTGAAATTCAATGGAATTTGGTTACTATTTCACAATATGCGATAGAATGGCGACATTCAAATACGGGTTACTGGCCGTAAGACAAAAGAGAAAAGTAACCGTTTGAATAAAATAGGCAAAACGTTTTATTTCTCATTTGCAAACTTGGACATCTTTATATTGAAATCGCTTGGTGGATATTGCTTCGAGCATTGATTGGATATCAGCTTAAAGATATCGAAATTCCAATGTTCCCCCTTCTGCCTTGGGACACTCGCTATCTTTATGCTTATTTGCCGGATTTTTTGTAATAAGCTCCCGCCAAAAATATGAGATTTGAGAAAGCACCTCCGCCATGTTTAGAAATAAGAAATTAGGGTACTCCTGAAGTATGCGCACCAAGATGTTGCACAATCTAAACCCTAACCTGGTACACAACTTGAGTTCAGGTTGTGCGTCATCTTGGTGCGCATACTTCAGGAGGTCCGAAATTAGTGATTATCAATGATCCCGTTAGAGTTAGGAATGATTTTAATTTGCAGCACAATCTGTATTCGTATCCCTAACTGGATAATTATTATTTTTTTTTTAGCGGTGGCGGGGATGTACTGTTTATTACCCGGGACTTTGTACAAAAGATACGTATAAACAGATTAGACGGCGGTATCAATGTTGGACCATATTGGCCTGCTATTATAACACCAACCTATCTTGGGATAGACTTTTCCCACTTTGTCCTACGTGACAGATTTGACTATCCACGTACGTAAGCGCCTTATAGAGTGATTTCGTGACAGCTATTGAATAAAAGTTGTGAAATTCAATGGAATTTCGTTACTATTTCACAATATACAGTAGAATGGCGACATACCAATACGGGCTACTGGTCCTAAAAAAAAGAGTTAAGAACCCGTTTCAAAAAAAAAACTCGGGCTTTCTGCAAAAGATCCGACAAACTTGAATTTCCAGCGCAAGCTGCTTTCTATCTAGTCAATCCAACGACTAACAGAGTCAATCATTTCTTATTTTTGAAACGTGGTGGGGTGGTTTCTCAAACGATTTGATTGGTTGATTTGATATATACAAATGAGATGGCTATACTGTATTAATATTGGAGATGGGATGCATGTACAAGACCATATTGACCTGCTATTATCGCACCACTATCTTGCGTCAGGTTTTGTCCTACATGACAGATTTCACTATTTAGGTGCATAAGCCCCGTATAGAATGAGTTCGTGCTAGCTATTGACAGCTATAGCACTTTGTTCCACGTGACAAATTTTACTATTCAAGTGCATACGCGCCGTATGGAGAGAGTTCATGACAGCTATCGAATAAAAGTAGTGAAATTCAATGGAATTTGGTTACTATTTCACAATATGCGATAGAATGACGACATACAAAACGGACGTCTGGTCGCAAAATTATAGCGAGATTTTTGTGAATGATATAGGTAATTTTTACACGAGACAAACACACACGAGACGAACACGCACGACGGGAATTTCATCACTATGCCAACACTTCAAATTAGACCTGAAACATGCGACATAAATGTACTACACATACGCCATCTCACATTGTGACGTAGAACAGGACTGTGCAGATAAAAATATTGCTCCAGCGCTAAAGTAAGATTTTCTGCATACAAAAGGCCGAAAACTTAAAAAAAGGGTGTAGTGATATTTTTTATTTTAGTTTTTTTTTACACTGTGCTTAAATGAGCGATCGATTTAATGATCGAATATCGCGACCTTTGAATATCGTTAGGAATACCGGATATGACGCACATATCCTAGCGCCGCCGTCCACGTTTTGTTTTAAAATATTTTACAATTATTTCATTTTTTATCGTAATCGAAGGCAGCCGTGTGCGCCATGGCAATAAATTATCTGTCAAGCCAAGCGAAATCCAGTGAGAAGACGATAAAAATTTTGAATTTCATTTGTGAGTGCTCCAGAAGTATGCGCACCAAGATGTCGCACAACCTGAATCCTAACCGGTACACATATACTATGTTCAGGTTGTGCGCCAAAAAACACCACCAACCATCGCTCAAAATAAGAAAATTAGTATTTACCCAGTATCAGTCAGGGCTAAGGATGCATATTGCGCAGGAAATTCCAATTTTCATATCATTTCCAACCCTAACGGGCAGTGGTGTATCTAGGGCGTGGCAGCTATGGCTCGTGCCATGTGCGCCGTTTGAACAGGGGCGCTAAAACGGCGAAAGTAGAAGTTCATAATAAAATAATTTCAAATTTGGAATAACTAAACTCGTATTTTTACTCAAATGATAACGTACAAGTATCTCAATTTAACAATAGTCATTATAAATTGTCAAAAACTACCAAGGGGGCGCATTTTTAGACTTTGCCATGGGCGCCATTTTACGTAGATACGCCACTGCAAACTGGGTTACTAATATGTTATTGGACACGAAGTGGACATAACGATCGTTTCAAAATTTTGTTGTTATTGTTATTGTTATTTGTCTCCGTCTCCATTTTTAAAAAATCGCTTTTCTCTTCGAATACTGGACCAATTGCTTTGAAATTTTCAGTGGTTAAAGATAAAATTTTTCTCCAGAAGGCTATTACTTTTTTTTTGCTATGACGTCATCAAAATTATTGCCATTGGGTGGCGCTACGTGTCCATATATTTGAGCATAGCTCTCTTGTTTTAAATCGTGGCGGATGTGTTTTATTCAATCTCGCTTTGTACAAAAGATCCGAATAAAGAAAAAAAACGTAATGAGATACACTCAATTCGGCGTTGAGCATAAAAGTTGTGGAATTCAATGAGATCAATCACTTTTTCGAAATATACGATAGAATGGTGACATAAAAATACGGGTGTCTGACTGCCCTACAGTAAAAAGACAACTGGATTTTGGGTAAAAGATATATGATTCGTCTTGAACTGCTGTGGTATAAAATGTTGCAATACTAAAGACATACAGCATAGAGAGATTATGGCGACTAAAATATATAATTATTTTCTGAATTCCTTCATAGTATAAAATATGAAATAGTTACAATATATAAGATACCTATACGCATTTTATTCGCGATTTCATCTGATCAAATTTTCTGCTTTTATAGCGATCACCCTGTGTTAGACATTTAGTCGCGGTATATTCGATTTTGGTGCAACTGAAGTGTGTGTACCAATATGGAGGTAACTAACTTTGTTCGCCGACTTTACATCAAGTTGTGTAAATCGACTGAAACCTAAGAAAGGGTATATTCACTTGGCTAACACAGACAGTCCCCGAACTCGTAATAGAACTAAAATGGAGAAAATCGGAATAAAATTATGCATAAAGGGTTGGTTAGCGAATTTCTCCCATCTTGGGAAACATGGCACTAAATTAACCTTAAATTACGCTATATCATACGCACAATTATTCAATGAAATACATTCTGCTTTTCTTGCACAAAAACCATGATAACGCGACTGAATGTATAATGTTTAATATATATAGTCAGTTGCAATTTTCTTTCAACGTTAACACTAACGGTTCTAACCGATTTATGCTAAGTTCTTAACTTGATCGGAAGTACTGTTTATAAAAAATGGATTGATATTTCGAGACGCGAAATCTGGATTAAGTTATTCTTGTTCTAATTCGAATAAAAGCATCATTGTGTTAACTCTATATCCAAAGTTGGAAGTATAGACAAGGAGAAAAGACCTGCAGTTTAGTTTAAGCTCCTAGTTTATTTATAGAATATCGGTAACTTTTTATTTCCATATAACGGTATCAATCTAACATGGGCAAAGTACGGGCCGCGGGCCAAATCCGGCCCGTTGAGGAATTCAATCTGGCCCGCCTGATGTTGCCCCAACCAAACTTTGATGTTTTAGCTGAAAATATCTCAAGGAACTTGTTTAGATTGCGGTTAAACTTAGTTTTTGCACGAGGCGTATTGTTTTCCACCTTTGCTTTGTAACACT